TAGCACAAAGTAATCAATAGTCATCACAAGGTCCGTTAGGTCGAATTAAAGTTCAATGGGACAAACAAAACTCGAGGCAATCAATAGAGTAGTAATAGTGTGAGTCTTGCTCATAAAAACAATTGGTTTAATATATACCACATCAAAGTAACCAGAAGACCCCCGAATTGTGAAATAGGCCAAATTAAAGTCCTTTCGGCCATAGTGACTAAAAGTAGTAAAGAGTAAGCACAATGTCAATTAGGCAACTAATAAATCGATTCCTTGAAGACAATGTTCGAGTAACCAACCGTTATCACAAAGCCATTAGGCCGAATCAAGTCCATTGGGTCAAAAGTAACCCAAGGTAATAAAAATAGTAATTTGAATGTTAATTTAGCTCATATTAAATTCATTTGTGTTTCAATAATTCGAAGTAACCCAAAGTGTAACCAAAATATTAATTAGGCCAAATTAATTTCGACTACGGTCAATAGTAAGTCGAAGTAATTCAAAAAGTAATCATAATGTCAATTCAGCTTTTAATAAATTACATTGTTGAATATTAACTCAAACTAATTAAAATAGTAATCCCAATATCAATGAGGGCGAGTTAAAGTTATCTTCGTCTAAAGTGACTCCAAGTAATCAAGAGTAATAATAATGTGAATTGAGCTTACAAGCGATATATTTGTGATCAAAAGAGAATTCAGAATCTCAACAAACATCATAAATTTTCAATTGGTTGAATATTAACCCAGAGTAATCACAAGAGTCATCGCAATGTCAATTAGACTGAATTAAAGTCCATCGGATCAAAGATAATTCGACGTAATTAAAAGAGTAATATTAATCTCAATAGATATCATAATATATTAATTGGTAATATTATCACTCGAAGTAAAAGGGGTGCACCAAAATGTCGATCAGGTCGAATAAAGTCAATGTAGTAAATAGTAAAACCAATTAATAAAAACGTAATAATAGCGTCAATTGAGCGCATAATAAACCAGTTTATTAGAATAATAGCTCAAAGTAAACAAAAGATTGATCACAAAGTCAACTAAACCAACTTAAAGCACATTGGGTCAACAGTAACTCGGAGTGATCAAAAGAGTAATTTGAAGGTTAATTTGGCTCATAATAGATTAATTTGCGGTATACTAAATTGAAGTAATCCAATGAGTAACTGAATGTCAATTAAGCCAAATTAAAGTCTACTGGGTCAATAGTAACTCAAAGTAATAAAAAAGTAATCAGAATGTCACTTAGCTCATAATAAATTACATCTTTGAATATTAACTCGAACTAATAGACCGATCTCACCAGGCACGAGCCCTTGCATGCACGACCGTCTGCCTCCTGTGAACTAAAGTTATGGCAGCGTCACGCATGCGCTGAATGCCCAGTTAGATCGATCGAGTCATCAAAATGTAAATTTGGCCGAATTTGTGAAAAGTAAATGTAGCTAAAGTTAAAGAGTAATAATAATGGGAAGTGAGGTCATAGTATATGAGTTAGTTATATAATAACTCAAAGTAATGAAGGGAATCTGCAACATGTCATTTAGGCTGATATAAAGTCTAGTGAGCCAATAGTACTCGAAGTAATCGAAATACTGATCAAAACGTCGGTTGAACTCAAAACAAATCAGTTGTTTGATTAGATGAAAATAATTAACGTCATCAATATGTTAGTTTGGACAAATCAAAGTCCAAAAAAGTCATTATGATTTGACTTGTGCTCATAACAAATCAGTTAGTTTATTATTTGCCCAAAGTAATCACAAGGGTGGCCACGATGTGAATTAGGCCGAATAAAACTGCATTCGGAGAATAGTAAGTCAAAGTAATCAAAAGAGTGATCATGATGGTGTCCGAGCTGAGAATAAATCGCTTTTCGTATAAAAACTCGAAGTAATAAAGAGTGAGGAATATTTTAATTCGATTAAAATAAAGTCAAACGGGTCACTAACTCAAAGTAATCACCATGTCAATAAATTGATATTAACTCAGTTTTGTGACTAATATATCGGGTAAAGATAAAAATTTACCACTAAGTTAACTGGGTTAATTTAGTGTCAATTGTGGGATTAAGAACACGGAGTAATGAAAGGAGTAATCAAAGTCTTAGCAGAAGTTATATGGCGTCTCATTTTTCAATAATAAATCAAACTAATCGACTGAGTAATGAAAATGTTTGCTACTCTACATTTATTCGCGTCAATATACTATATATGTATACATAACCAAAAAATAAGCAGAATGTCAAAAGAGCTTCTACCAAATTATATTTTTCACAATAATTCGTCAAGGCAATTGAGAGAGTACTTAATAATGCTTGTTGAACGTTTATCATGCAGATTGTGTTATTAATAGGTCGAAATGATTAGAAGTGGAAGCCATACCTACACTAAACTTGAAATAATATCAGTGCGTCAATATTAGCGCGAAGTTATCAAAAAAGTCATCATATATTGCAATTGTACTTGTATCATCTGAATTGTATCATTGATAAGTCGACTAATAAGAAACGTGAAACAAAACGCCCATTAACCTAAATATATTTGAGTGCGCCGCAATAACTCGAGGTAACAAAAAAAAGTGAAAGCCGTTTACAACTCCCTGTAATGCCGAATCAGAGCGCAGCTCCTGAGGAGGAGCAGGAGGGGAAGGTGCGGAGTGGGGGCGTTGCCTTTCTTCCTCTCCTGCTCGCCACGCCGCCCATTTAGGGGAAAATTTTCTGCTAAATTTGGCGGGGAAATTTTTTCGCTAGATAAAGCGGGGAAATTTTTCCGCTAGCGGGGAAATTTTTCGCTAAATTTAGCAGGGAATTTTTCGGCTGCGGAGAAGCTTTTCCGCTAAATTTAGTGGGGAAATTTTCCGCTAAATTTAGCGAGGAAAATTTTCCGCTAAATTTAGCGGGGAACATTTTCCACTAAATTTAGCGGAAAATTTCCCCACTAGATTTAGCGGGGAAAATTTTTCGCTTAATGCAGCGGGGAAAATTTTCCACTAGATTTAGCGGCGAAATTTTTCCACTACAGGTAGCGGGGAAACATTTCCGCTAGATTTAGCGGGGAAAATTTTCCGCTAGTTTTAGCGGGGACATTTTTCCGCTGAACAGCAAGGAAAATTTCCCGCTAAATTTAGCGGGGACATTTTTCCGCTAAATTTAGCGGAGAAAATTTTACGCTAGATATAGCGGGGAAAAATTCCGCTAGGCTTCGCGGGGCAAATTTTCTGCTAAATCTTGCTGGGAAGATTTTCCGCTAGATTTAGCGGGGGAAATTTTCCGCTAAATATAGCGAGACAATTTTCCGCTAGATTTAGCGGAGAGAATTATCCGCTAAATCTAGCGGGACAAATGTTCTGCTAGATTTAGCAGGAAAAACATTCCGCTAGATATAGCGGAAAATTTTTTCGCTAGATTTAGCGGGGAAGCTTTTCCGCTAGACTTTGCGGCGCAAATTTTCCGATAAATCTAGCTGGGAAAATTTTCTGCTAGATTTAGCGGGGGAAATATTCTACTAAATGTAGCGGGGAATATTTTCCGCTAGATAGAGCGGGGAAAATTTTTCCGCTGAATTTAGCGGGGAAAATGTTCCGCAAGATTTAGCAGAAAAAATTTTCCGCTAAATTTAGTGGGAAAAATTTTCCGCCAGATTTAGCGGGAAAGCCTTTCCGCTAGACTTCGCGAGGCAAATTTTCCGATAAATCTAGCTGGGAATATTTTCCGCTAGATTTAGCGGGGAAAATTTTCCGCTGAATATAGCGGGGAAAATTTTCCGCTAGATTTAACAGAAAAAATTTTCCGCTAGACTTAGTGGGACAAACTTTCCGCTAAATCCAGCTGGGAAGATTTTCCGCTAAATTTAGCGGGGGAAATTTTCCGCTTAATATAGCGGGAAAAATTTTCCGCTAGATTTAGCGGGGAAAATTTTCCGCTAAATTTAGCGGGGAAAATGTTCCGCTAGATTTAGCAGTCAAAATTTTCCGCTAGATTTAGCGGGGAAAATTTTCCGCTAGATTTAGCGGGGAAGCTTTTCCGCTCGACTTTGCGGGGCAAATTTTCCAATAAATCTACCTGGGAAAATTTTCCGCCAGAGTTAGCGGGGAAAATTTTCCACTAAATATAGCGGGGAAAATTTTCCGCTAGATTTAGCGGGGAAATTTTCCGCTAAATCTAGCGGGGGAATTTGCCCATCATGCACCGCGTGATTACGCCGACGCCGCTTAAGCCGGAAACAGGTGCCTAAGAGCTGCGCTGTAAAGAGTAACCAACATATCAATTAAGCCTCGTCAATAGTGGGACTAGTAACTCAAAGTAACCACATTAGTGATCAAATTCTCAATTCCCCCCCAAAAATTCAAATTGTATAAACAATTATTATAAGTTACCAAATGTGTAAGCAAAACACGACCACTGAACACAATAAGTGCATATATATATTGTGGATTAAATTGACTGACCCCGAGATTAAATTGTGTGGCGCTTGGATTAAATTGTATGGCGCTTGGATTAAATTGACTGACCCCGGGATTAAATTGGTCGTCGCTTGGATTAAAATGAGCGGGAAAACCTGTAGTATGCGCCGCTCTTTCCACCGCTTGGTGGCGGGTATATCGGCGGGTCATTTCTTGTTTCCGTACTTCATGAACTGCATTCGTTTCTTTTTTTATCTAAAATACTGAACAAAAACTACTTTTATTAATAATTGAAACGGTTCGCACCACTTATATTTTGTATTTCGACTAAAAAGCTGCTTTGAGCGGCTCTGGCTTTGGCCCAGGACCAAAGACGTCACATTTTGCGCGCTTTCGGTACTGCGGGTCGCCCTCGTCAGTAGAGGAGGTTTCCGCGTCGTCCCGTTAAAATATGACGCACTGATATTCAGTTACTCTCTCCGTGCCCGCTGGCTTGCCCGAACCCCAAGAGACGTGGAAACCGCAAAAAAAGGTGGACGCTTAAATATGATTGCAGGGCCCCTTTAACAGATATCGGTAGAAAAGTCAACTAACGGAGTAGTCCATCCAACTCAAACTCGTCGTCGATGAGGAGGGGCATCGGGGGTGGCACGAAGGGCCTGTGGTTGATCCTCATGGGCATCACCCCGATGGGGTCTGGCATGCGGGGCAGCAGGCGCAGAGCACACTCCCGCTGCTCCTTACGCAGAAGGTGCTCACGCTTGTACTTCTGCAAAAAGGCATGGCCAGGGGCACTTCACGGTACCGCCTTGACAACGAGGAGTCTACAATGTGTCTTGGCAAGATGTGCAAGACGTCCACAGACATCTTAACAAAACATTAGACTTCTTAAAACATCTTGTAGCCATGCACCTTCTAGCTCAGCTACTGCACCATCCCCTTCGGGCAACAAAACATAACTTAGACTCTGTTTTGCGAAGATGATATACAGACACATATTGACTTGGCAGGACATTTTGTCAGGCTTCTTAAAACCATCTTCTACTCAGCTAATGCACCGTCTCTTTTAGGCTGTAAGACATCTTCAGAAATGTCTTATAGATCTCAGCAAGACATTTCATAAGGTTACTTGAACACATATACATGATGTCTACGATAAAACATAGTATAACATTGAGACATCTACAATGTGTCTTGGTGTTTGGCGTATGTAAGTCAGAAAACGGTTCAAGGTAGGTGTATACACCATTTCAACTTACGACCGACCGCAGTAGATGCTACGAGCCACCGTAGCCAATCCAAGTCAATCTGAGTTTTGTGTGACCTTGTAAAGAGAGTGCGGTGACATGCGGAAATGTGTATCACACATACCTCGGTAAAACTCACTCATGAGCACACTCATTCACCTCGCTCACCCTCACTGATCTGGCCTGAGGTGAGGGTGAAAGAGTCCGTAAGCCTCAAAAACTCGTGAGTTTGAGGTTGAGTGACGGGTATGAGCTCGGTGAGTTCATGAATTTGGCGAGGGGCATGAGTTATTGAGTTTGGTGAGTTCACGAGTTTGGTGAGGGACAAGAGTTTGTGAGGTCGGTGAATTCATGAATTTGGCGAGTTCATGGGTTCAGTGAGTTCATGATTTCGGTGAGGGGCGTGAGTTTGTGAGGTCGGCGAGTTCACAAGCTTGGTGAGCTCATGAATTTGGTGAGGGGCATGAGTTTACGAGGTCGGAGGGTTCATGAGTTTGGAGAGGCATGAGGTCCCTGAGGGGCCATGGGTTCAATGGGGGTTTGTGCATGACGTCGAGGAAGGGCGGGACATGTGACTTCTCCGTGCAAGTAAATAAGGTAACATTTTACGAGGCATAGAGTTGGTGGATTAGAATGTTCCAGTTTTAATTGGTATGTGTGGTGCCACAAAAAAGTAGACATGATAAAAATATTAAAAATAATATTTAATAGTATGGCATGCACAAAGTTCTTCAATCGTTCCATCTTCCAGAAAAAGAAAAAAAATACACCAGGCAGTTATTTTAGGAGAAATAATTTGTGTGAATGACGACAAATATAAAGACTAACCGTTCCAAAATAGTTCTACTTGACAACGAATTGCTGAGCAATTCGTTGTCCTACCATTAAGGAGAATTTTGCAATATCCTATGTAGAAACAAAGTACACACCCACAGTGGTGCATGTTTGAATATTAATATTTCACACCTGAATAAACTATGATGCAGATGCTCCCTTCATACTTGAACAATGTTGCCGTGAATTCTTGGAATGCTCAATGCACGCAGTAAAGAATACTTCTTCACGAGCCTCACAATGACGCACCCTTGTATCCCAACAAAGCAAAGCGTCCCTTCCTCAAGTGCTCGGTTAAAGCGTGGAAGGAGTCGAAGCGAAACAAACAAAAAGACAAAACATTCCTTCACTTGGCGATGTGATGGCTGGCGCCACAGCACCGGAACATGGCAGCGACCTTGGCGGGGTTGTAGAAGCCGTGCAACTCATGCACTACACGAGCGCTAGCACCGCAACTATGGTGAGGGCAAGAACTACTTATGAGTGAGTGAGATCGGTGAGTAAGCGATTTCATAAGTTTGATGAGGACCGCGAGTTTATGAGTTCAGTAAGGGGCCTGAGTTAATGAATTCAATGAGGGGAGTGAGTTCGGGGAGTTTATGAGTTCGTGAGTGAGGACTTCAAAGTGAGTGCGGCCGTGAGGGTAAGGGTGAGTGAGTTTTTAACTTTTTATTTTGAGCTAGCTGCGAGTGAGTGAGTTCAACCAAAAAGGCCGAGCTCTGGTATCTAGTGCTACGTTCAGAGAGCTGGATCGTCTGGGATGGCTCGTAGCTTCCGCTGCAGTCAAACGTAAGGTGAAACGGAGTATAGATATGCATAATGCAGCACTCGGCCTAGTCCAATTTTATTAGTTACTCAATTAACTAAATGTGTTGGCTTCATATAGGGCTGGCTACAGGAGTAGAGGTTTTTGTCCAGCACACTGGAAATTACAACAAAATGCACCACTCAAGGCTTTGCGAGACTGAAAGGTAACATTTCAAAGCAAGCAGGAATATGTGCAGCTGGCTATTTACTGTGGGTAACATTGAGCATTCATCGATCCTTCGAAGGAAACAAACTGAAAATAGTTGATTCAAGAGAGCCACCAGTCACACTTTCCCACTATCTCCAGGCTAAACCTCATACCGTTTCACTAAAATTCGGAAACTAACATCTCATGTGCAGGAAGAAAAAAAAAGCTAAGGTTTCTTGGGCATGTGCGTGTTATTGTATATACAGTATAGACCACTTACAACGTAACCGCTTATAGTGCAGGACCTGGTATAATGCGGCTTTTTTAAACCACCGGTTCGCCTCCCATAGAACTCCATGTAATTACATACCGCTTAAAATGCAGGCGCGCGATGGGAAATACCGGTTATAGTGCGGTTTCTGCAACAGCCCGGCAGCCGCGCCGACTGACCGGCGCAGCGAGCACGCTTCCCTGTGCGACACTAGATAACGGCGCGAGCCGCAAGCGGCACTCGCGGGGCAAGGAGGTTGCTCGAAGCAAGGAGAAGCGAAAAGAAAGGCTTCAGTTGCCATAGCGACGGAGGGACGCACGCAGGTGTCGTTCATGTGCGTGCGTCTCTCCGCTGCGTTTGGACATGTTGGAAACAACCGCAACGACAGACCAATCGCAGGTCGAGGAGAAGTGTTTGCGCGCGTTGCATGCCGGTCGCGGGCCGGCTGCTTCTATCCGCAAACATGGCGTCGGTTGTAATTGTCGACGTAGACGGCATGGTGGAAGCTCATCGTTCCGCGTAAAAGCGCTATCCTTGACTGTGAATTTTCGTTGTGTGTCGCCAGGGATGGGCAAAATACATGCAAATATGTATCGAAATACAAATACAAAATACTTCATCAAAAATGTGTTTAATTACAAATCTAATTACATTTCCAAAAAAGCATTTAAGTACAAGATGCAAATACAACCAAATGTATTTGGTCTCCTCCAAATACATTTCCAAATACATTCCTCAAAATTTGCGTCATCGACTTCAGGGCACCTGCAACGGGTTTCTAGGTATCTCATTTTAATTTTGCATCGCACACTCGGGAGTTAGTGTGCGAGGCCCTAGTAAAGTAATAGAAACATAATCACAAAAAAAAAAATGTAATCAGCTTGGACGTAATAGGTGAAAAAAGTACAGAGCTTCAAGTAGCTTTTTTTGTCGATTACATTTTAGTATAGGCCAACAAAGAACTGAGACGACCAAGACGCGCAGAACTAGCTAGAGAATTTTTTATCGTTGCAACTCGCACCAGTTACGAAAATCTGGACGACCCGCGCATTTAGAATGTTCCAGGAAAAAATATGGATGGAAATCAGGCTGGAAAGCATCACAAGTTGTCACAGGCACTTATATTTAGCCAGTCTGCCTGAGAACGTCGATTTCGTCACTATTCTTGCCCTGGACTAGCACCGTAATCACAAAGTCACTAAACAGTTGTGCTTGATTGAGAGACACTGCATTCGGTGCAGAACATAGTTTTCTTCCTGCTCTGGACAGTGCCTTTAAAATAAAGCCGGAGGAGAAAAAGAAAAAGTCCCATGGCCGACCGAATAAAGGATGGAGACTACTATATCTTACAACCACATGCATAAAAAAAAAAATTGTCGTGACAATAAATTTGAGGGATGTATTTTCGCCCGTAAAATTGTATTTAATTACAATTGTATTTGAAATACCCACATTTTAGTATTAAAATACACACATCAAATACATTACCCAATTTGTAATTAAATATGAATGCAAAATACACAAACTATTTGAAATACTGCCCATCCCTGTGTGTCACTATGATAACCCAGCACATACTAGAAGGGAAGATCCACCTACTCGTGCGCCGATGTCGTGGCAGCACTCTCAAGACGGCAAAAACGCCCGTGTCGTCGTGTTTGTTTACTTCGACTACAGTGGTGATTTCTAAGCGTTTGTGTTTTCGAACATCGCCCGGGTTTCTTATTTGGAGCAGTTCATGCCTGTGTTGAAGGTATTACTGGCGCGTACCATATAAAGGATGCGAATTTTCACGCGGTTTCATCACCGGAGAAAAGTGATTAGGGTTAGCAATCCTGAACTCTCGCAACGTCTGTCCACAACCCGCGACGCCGTTAAAAGGCTGCGCCAGGCAAAAGTCGCTAATTTCTTTCAAAATGTGTGACACACTTGAGAGAGAAGTGTACTAGTCTGGTGAAATAAAGACTTTCCTCAAACTAAGCTTTATTTTTCCTCTAACATAAAATAAATTCTTTTACAAAGGTAAGTTGTCTGATGGCATGTATTTTGGCCTGAAAAATTGATGTTTTGGTTATAGCGCGGTACCGCTTATAGTGCGGATTTTCGCGACTCCCGCGACGTACGTTATATGCAGTCTACACTGTACTGTAAATGACTTATTTTTCATGGGCTCAATATTTCACGATTTCGGTTAAAGCTGAAGTTTTGGAAAAATTCCCCGAGTTCTAATTTTCGCAACACGGTGGGATCTCAATATAGATTCCAATGTGTTTACATTTTATCGGACTTGTTCGCGGGACCTATTTTTCGCGAATAGTAGGCGATTCGTGAAATTTGCGAAAATTAGGTTCTTGCGAAAAATAAGTCGTTTATAGTATATAGTGTCGTAAAATGCTTTTATCTTGATGTCAGCACTTCCTGCCCTTTATTAAAAATGTAAAGAATGTATAAAAAGATATCGCCACTGAAATTTATTGCATAATTCGAGTTATAGGGGTATGCTAAAATATGATAAAAGGGTGTAAATGCCTGTGCATATGCTAACACTTGAAAAAAAATTTTTTTTTCAGCATATTGCACCTTAGCCAATGTTAGTATGTACTAGTAGAGATATATTTATCTCCCGAAAAATGTTTACTTGAGGAGAGATCAGTTTGCCCAGTTTCCACTCACCTCTTTCCAATCAGAGATGTTTTCTGTTGGCGAGATTTCCACTGCAGAAAGCGGCATTTGAGTGAGAAGACATTTGTCGCAAATCGCCAAGTTGTGGCGTAAGTTTCTCACCGGAAGGGTAGTTCTTGAAGAAAAGCTTGCGCCACAACACAGGGTGCGAGGCCAGGGAGAACAGGTCCACACTGACCCTCGACGCAGCAAGAAGGTCCCTGACATTCAGGTAGCCAAGGATCAGGAGCTGGCAAGGGAAGCGAGAATGATGAATAACTACGGCAAAATCATTGATCCTATCAATTTCAAAATATTCTTTTGGGAGCAGTTCTTAGCGATAAATAGACTTCTTCCAAAACCGACGCGCCCCATCGCGGTGAAATACCACGCGGTGCACTCTGGGAACTAGTTGGCCACTCAGTTTCGGTTTCGACTGAGCAGCTTCATTTCATGCTATCACGCCGCGACCAAACACGCTGCTTGCGTTTTCGATTATCTGACTTTTGACAAACGTACAATACACTCATTCTCGAGCGATACACACTGAAGACCGGGGCACTTTCCTTGGTTCCCGAAACACCGGATATTGTGCGTGCGTATGCGAACGCAGAAAGCCGTGGCTTAGTCACCTCACCCCACGAGGGCATGTTTGAGCTCAATTTCAATAATCCCGTTTAGTACCAGTGAGCTAGAACTGAAATTTGTTCATCTGGAGCCTTACACGTATTTTGTTTGCCAAAATTCCGTTCCTTGTTACTTCATTGGGTGAAAAGCAAGCCGCATCCTCACAGGGTATCAAAGGTGAGCCCAGCGTTTACGCACGAACTGTTAAAGAAACGCAACTTGATTCGACCTAGCTCACTACTGCACAAAAGTTACAATGATGTCTTCCTCGTGTCATCATATATCTCCAACTCAAATTTTATGCTGATAGAAGATTAACTTTTCGCAAACGCTGAGACCGGCTAGCTACGACGGAGGCCCTAACAAGCGTCCCCTGCTCCTCGCTAAGCCTTTTTGGACGAGTTTTTACTGACGCCCAAGATCTGTGCCTGAACGGTGTGTCTGAAATTATCTCGGCATACTCAGGCAGGAAGAAAACAAACACATAACAAATATTATGGCCATTAGCAACCGTCAAACGCGCTTTGAATTCGTTCGAGCACTTGTGTAAAGAACGTCGCACCGTATACGCCGGACGGGCATGAACCCCTATGCGGTGCGCATATAGGGGTTCATGCCCGTCCGGCGAACGGTGCGACATTCTTCACACAAGTGCTCGACTTTTGCTTTCTTAAAACGGTCTGTATGTGCGAATTCGCCTATATGATTGCAGGATAACTTTATGCGAATACGCGATGTTGAATATTAGTGGAATGCAAGCGGGTGGGGACTTCACTTCGTGCAGTGCTGCAGGTCAGTACAGATAAGAGATAAGAAATGTGTTGAAATTGAGCTTTTCAATGGCGCCTCCGAGTTTTACCTCGCATACTCAGGCATATTAAGAAAAACAGTAATTGTAAAAAGTAATATTTTGTCTATAGACGCACGAAACAAACAAACTTCCTGATCAACAACACTAATGTAAAGGCGCGAGCTCGATGAATGCAAACTTATTGGTTGCTACAGCTTGTTGATTCGTACACAAGCAAGATCCCCGAATTCGCAGCATCAAGATTCCCAGCTCTGGCTCGTCCACATACCTCGATTGGAACGCTAACAGGAAGGCCCAAGTACAAAAATACAACAAGCATGTGTTAAGACAAGCTATACGTCTCAGGCTTGTGCTAAAGCTTCGAGGTCTGGCCATTTAGGTTAGTTTAGAGACCACAAATGACGCTCTCGGCACCAGAAAACAATCTCTTGTCGACGTGTCGATCGAAACCGAAACCGTGCCACCTTCCTCCCTGGCCAACTAGTTCCCAGAGTGCAACGCGCGCAGTGTTGCATGCAGGGCTTTATGGAAGTAGTCTATAGGGCTTCCATTCATTTTAATTAATAAAAAAAACAAGATAGAAAAAATTGATGAAATGTTACAGCATTAATTATTAATAAAGGTATATATAGCATTTTATAGGGGCTTTCGCACCCACAATCGGATCTAGTTTCGGTGACATCACTATCTCACTTGACACTGTGAAGTCACTTCGCATTGTAACACAACATCAGGTAACACCATGACGCTACATTGACTGACGTGGCACTGTGACACTGCAACTGACATTATGTGACGCCGTGACGTGGCATTGCAACACTGATGTCACATGGCGTGTGGTTGCTTTATATATTCCCCTCGCAGAGTGCCCTTGAGCAGCCTCCTTACTTTGCCCACAAAAGGAGTGTGAAGAGACCCTATAAATGCTATGCATTTAGAATACCTCTGGGAAAATCTTTTTTATCTAGCATACTGTATGTACAGCCAAACCCGTTTATAACGAACAGCAGGAAACGCTACGATCAGTTCGATATAGCAAGTAGTTCGATATAGCAAAAGCCATTTACAAGGAACTTCCACGATGCGTTCGTTGTAAGGCGAGAGCTTCTCTTTCTCTCTCATCTCTTCACTTCCACCTTGTAACAAAACCCTAAAAATTTGTTTTTGTTTTTCTTTTTTGCATGCGTACAGAGTTTTTTTTTAGCTTATCTCCCCTTCTGAATCACTTCTCTTCGTAGGCAATTGCTTTGGGATGAAGTTTTTTTTTCTGTGCGTGCGTGCAGTGTTCTTTTTTTTTTAGCTTCTCCCCTTCTGAATTGCTTCTCTTTGTCAATTTTGTTCGTAACTTAAGCTTTTAAAACTTTCTTTTTTTTTTTTTTTTTTTTTTTTTGAGGGGGGGGGGGGGGGGGAGTGGGGAAGGGACAGGCTAGAAGAAGATTGTTTGCACGTTTTCGAAAGCCTTCCCGGGGGCAAAAGTTTGATATAGCCAATATATTGTTCATTATAAAAAGCACTTTTTACACACATTTTTATTTAAATTTTCTGTGAGTTCGATATCGAGAATAATTCGCCGGTCCCCTTTCCCCATTTCTCCCTCCGCCTCATAGAGCATTTTGTCATGGGCGGGCCGTCTCCGAACAAAAAAAAATCTTGGCTACGTGCCTGATTTCTTCACTGTATGTTTTGCACTGTTGGAGGTCACATTTTGTTAATGTTACATATGTAAATCTTTTTTAAGGCATGTTTTTGTTTTTGCATTCTGTATTTCGTGTCATTTGAGCTCTTGCATGTATGCACTGGTGCACCCTCCTGTAGGCCCACAGGCTGTTGAGGGTCACCTCCCCACATAGAAATGCTTCCAGTCCAGGCTGTGTTATGGAACCGGAAATCGACTACTGCTGGAGCTGGAAATCTATTTTACCAGCCTGATTCCAGGCTGTTTCCACCCAGAAATGGACAAACTTCTTGCTGGAAATTAGATTTTTCCTCCTCTAGCTGGGAAACTTCCAGGTGGATCATGTACTTCCAAGCTGGAATTTCTGATTTCCAGGATGAGCAGCATCCATTTCCAGCTGTAAACAGAATTTCTAGCTGGTGCTGTATAAATTAGCCGAAAATGCGGCTGGAAATCTTTATTTCCAGCTGGAAGCTGCAGCTTTTTTTCATGTGGGTCAAAAGTACCAAATAAATAAATGACAAAACTGGAAAGTCTATGGTGCACTGTCTTTCATGTTACAAAGGAGACATAATCGGAAAGGCAAGAAGAAATTAAGTTGAGTTATATTAATTCATTTCCATATTATATCACAATTTACTATTGTTTGTGATTCCTTGCTCCTTCCCGTTAATGTCTAACAGCAAAGCTGTAAAACATTAACTATACGACCCGTTGGTTGGGTTTTTTCGTGTCCATCGACAGAACAGTAGTCGAAGATTAGTCGACAGAAAACCATTGCACGCTCCTTATCACCGTTCTATCTCATATCATGTGGTTTTGACACATGTTTCAATAAGAAAACCACAAAACAAGTCTCAAAACCATGTGATAAATAATAACCACGTAGCACTCTCTCCATGCGTTTCTCAGTAAAGATTGCGGCTGCATAAGCTGCCGTGACAACGGCAAAGTACGAAGTGTGGAGTGACGTCACTAGCTCCGCTAACAGTGCGAAGCACGTAGCACTTCCTGAATGCATTTCTCAATAAAGATTGCGGTTGAATGCAACTGCTGCAACAACGGCAGCATACAAAGTCTTTCATATACAAAAAAAAAGTTTTGGTACATTTACTTTCCTTTCATCAATCATTTGGTATAGACCCTTTTGCTGTTTACAAACATGAACTGTCTCCTGCAGCCCAAGCGACTTTCGGTCGCACTGTCTTTGCAAGCCTGTTGAGCTTGCTTATGTCACCAGGGCTAGAAAGTATAAATGCTACACGGACAACAAGGTTGGGGATTTAACAAGGGCCTTCGGCTGTACAATATTACATCTTGAAGGAGGCAAGTTGGTTTACAAGGATACTTGAAACATTTTAACAAATCTCGCACTCCTTCATTCTTTTGGTGTTCACCTGGAGAGTTGGTGGTTAAACGTTTCAGCTACATTTCAATCAGCGATGTTAAGGTGGCCTTTGATCGTTCTTTCAAACCGGAAGTTCTCTGGGACGTCAAAGACCTGGTGGCATTTTTCCATAAAAAGCGTCTAGGTATGTGGAGTGGGCAATCGTTGCAGGTGATATACCACAGCTTCACTGTCCAACCACCTTCATAGTGTGACTGGAGCCTTAATTTTTTTTATTGTCAGATATCAAGAGCGTGAGTCAGGTCCAGACAAGATAGAGCTCAACAAGGTTGGTTAAATATTGGTAGATTAAATGACAGCTTATTGTGCAACATATTGCCAAACATAGGTGTTGTAAGTTCTTCCCTAGCTAGATAGATTGTCACAAATGCAACATTTAAAAGTCAGGATAAGAAGCTACCTTAAGTAGAAAAGACAAATTTATATTTCATACCTGGATCTCATTGCTGAGTGTCATGAACCCAAATGTGGCTGGAACATTTGACACTACAAAAAAAAAAAAAAGAAACAGATTTTAATATATTTTTTTATGAGCATGCTTTAGTATGTGTTGTGCAAAATTTATGTTGTACTAATATTAAGTGGGACATAATAATATTGGGTGTCTTTATTTCTTGCATGGCTTGACGACATTCATTCGAGGTATCAAGTAAAGCAACGCCATTTAGTGGTGAGCACACAAAGCATAACAATGAAAAGCTCACACTATGCACAACGTAAACACAATGTCAACTTGAACGACCCACGTGAAATGAACAAAACGGGATCTGCAAATATGTGGTCGGAGTTGTGACGGTAGGTGGATATGACTCACAACGACCTTTGCAAATCTGCAATTTAAATTTTAATTAAAGGTGAATTTTACTTAGGGGCGAATTTGAATCGAATACGAATAGTCAGCTTCGAATATCGAATTGAATACTGAATAGTCGAAGGCAGGTGCATTTATTTGCAGCATTTTTATTTTCACGTGTCGGAATGCCTCACTGGTGTTAACCAGAAGAAAAACACAAAAACAAAAATTCTAGTTGTAGGGAAGAAGATTCCAAATTGTCATGCAGAAAAATCAACTGCTGCACATGGTCAGGCAGGAGGCGCTCCCTTCGGGCGGAAACAACTCTTCCAGCCACAGAAAAATCTCTCACTTGGCACTAAAGTGGCAGGTATTGCCAGGTATTTGATGCAAAGCTTTGCCAGACTAGGATATCTGAAACAACTGACAGTTAGCCACACCTCACACCTCTCTCTCTTCAGTAGTGCCTCCCCTGGATATGCTGCAACTTCCCATTCTAAAACTGAAACCGCATTGCGTTCCACTGCTCCTTTGGCTAAGTGGTCAAATGCTTGCCAAACATCTGCAGAGGGCGTTGAGCCTTGCTCTTGTTTCTGTGTCGCAGCTTCTAGCTGGGTTTCTTCAGTAGCAGCACATGAGGCTAGCTCTTGTAGCACCAGATCTTTTAGCCATAATATTTTTTTGTTTTTCGGCCTTAAAAATAGTGAGCTTGAAGCATGGGCCCAAGAACATAGCAAGGCATGCTTCTCTGTCCTTTCATGCAGAGTGAACCTTGTCTTGATGGGTCTTATCAGCTCTGTGAGAAATTCCAATGCCCCAGCACAGTTACCTAGACAGTAAAGCATACCAAAAATTATAGGAACTTGGGAGGACGATGAAGGGCCTCAGCACTGGCAATAACACATCAAACAATGGCTTCAATGCTTGTGCATATTCAGAAGCATCTTTCCACTCTGATGAACTAAGTCCATCGATGTCACAGTCCGAGGTAGCAAGCTCCACAGTGACCGCTTCTTTGAGGTCCAGAAGACGAGACAACATCAGACACTGGCGATTCCATCTTGTCTCCATGTCTTGCACCAGACATAGTGTGTCCTTTCCCATCTTCTTTGGGCACTAATCAAGTCTTTTCTGTGCTGATGAACTATGCTTGCAATGTCCCACAATGCGCCTCACTTTCTTGCACAGGCGATCAATGGTCGGCATATAGGGTCTCGCGTCATTAATTGCCAGTTGAAGCGGATGTGCAAAGCATGCTCTTTCAGTCCAAAAAAGTCTCCTTACCACAGCATAGATATTGCACCATTATCTGTTATGATGAACTTTTCACATTCACTGAGTATCTCCCAGCCATGGCACATTTCGTTCCACAAAGTTGTGATGTTCAAAGCACTGTGACTGGCAGCCACATCTGTCGAGTGTTCAATGTGAACCACTTCATCATGAATTTTGGAATGAAAAGATGGCCTCCCTCAGGTGAAGCTCACATAACTTCCGTCAGTCCGCGATCTACACATGTCGCTTGTGCAGGAAACAGCGTTAGTGCCGCCTTCAAAGGCACTACTGAGCTCTGCTTTCATCTTCTTTCGGGTGTCGTCATACATCCGTGGCACAAGCACGTGCAAGAGTGTAGAGCGAGATGGCAGGTGATAGTTAGGAACAGCTTCTGTCAGAAGTTCCTTGAAGCCACGGTCTTCCAAAATGCTGCAAGGCTGTAAATCAAGCACCATCATGGCGGCCACCTTGTTATTTAGCGCTCGCACCCTCTGTTCTGGCAGGGACTCCGTATGGCGCAAAAAGTCCATCAGTGTTGGTTGACCTTTTCCTGGCGTACAAGCGGTAATTCCCACGATACTCTTTCAATGCTGGATGTAGCTTGAGATGGTTGACAAGGGGCATTGCCGTACCTGTGGGCATTTGAAGCGTTGACTTGTATGTCATACATTGCACCATCGATGCCGCCACCCTTGCATAATACTTTCAAATGCGCTCCTCTCTCTTCATTATAGTGCCATTTCCCGTTCGTTCCTCTGCTTCGCAGACAATTCCCCACAATCGTCTCCGTCCACCATAACATGGGTGAGCGAATGCGAAAGTGTGCACAGTTTAAAAGGTCAGGAGTCACGAGGAAACAAACTACAGAAATTATAGCCCCGGACCGCAGATTACTGCTACGGACACCGACGCCACCAGTTTAGGTTGAAGCCACCATGCTGCTACGTCGCTGTCCCAATGGGCCTTGCCTACCGAAACTGAAAGAAAAACTTGCGTTTGCGAATATGTTCTCAATTATTCTATTAATTTTGAATATTCCTATTACGACGAATATTCGAAAAATACCACAAAGACTTGGTTTACAAACCGAAAATGAATATTAAATGTATAACATTCTATTCATATTTGAAATTTCGAATATTCACCCACCTTCAATTTTAATTTATGAACAAGAATAACAGTACAAGCAGAAAATTAGGGGCTAGATGCAGCAAGGACATTTTGACGCGTCAGCGAGGAAGGTATGAGTTCAGGTGTGCATTCTCTCGTTTCCAGCCCATGAGCCAATCTTAAGGGGCATCGCTCGTGGTTGGCTCCCTACCCCATTCCTTCTCTCTTTCACTGGTCCTTCAGCCGAGGGCAAGGGAGTGTAATCTATCTTAGATTGCATTTTTGGACATAGACCTACATCTTTCTCCGCACTGAGAAGGGGGTGTAAAGTTTGGAGGTCGATGTCATGAAAACTTGGTCACAGGAGAAACGTCACACAGGCGCCCCGCCCCGCCTGCTGCCATGAATCGTGCAGTGTGCACGCGCGTCCTTTCTTATGTGCTGGCTTGCTAATTTGCTTGCTTCAACATGACGTGCTCCTGTCTGATTGCAATGGCGGACGCCACTTCGGCAGCCGTGGTCCACAATCTTTGCTTATCGCTCTGAACAGCAACCAATCGAGCATGTGTGCCCCGTAGCAAGAGCAGTTAACGCGACACAGCAAAGCGTTAAATGCAATTCACAGACTTGCGTCGAGTGCCCGTTTTGTTGGAGCCAACACAGCCATTGCCATAGCAACCCATACGTCGCAAGCCGTTGCAGTAGCACTAGGTCGGACTCATGCAAGTGCGTGAACCAACTTTTAGAAACAATCACAGGCAATTCCGCATATGCACCATAGACTATATTACTCTTAAGTATGCGCCTCAGAGATGGCGAAGCAGAGGGCTGCACATCTGTTTCTGCCGGACTCCGAAATATGGGCATTCCCTCACGCACCCGACATTGTCATGCAGCAGAAACCCGTGGACGTTTCTTCAGCTGCGGCCAGAGTTCTAAGGAAATTTATGTAGCACAGCAAACCTATGCACCGACCAATTTTTTATATGGAATTTGGCGACGTAAACACAGAAGTTGAATTTTTTTTCACACTTTTGAAACATGTGCAGTTGGCAACAGTCTAAGAATTCAGTAGATTCTTCGCCTCCAGCACGAGCCTTCTGGCTTTGATAAGACTTCATTGTATGTGCAGTCAACGCTTGGCCAAAGGCAACAAGCAAACTCTGAGGGAGGCAGAGCCTTTCACCAATTCTAGAGGAAGTTAGTGCTCGCCGAAAAATGCAAGGTTATAAACAAGTGATGGGACGAATCACCAGAGATTCGGATTCGGACAGATTCGAAAATTTCCGAACTTCCCACGACGAATATTCGGGAGATTCGGCAGATTCGTCGCTGGTTGCGGACGGCAGCGTGAAAGTTGTCGTAAACCTCGCGAATCGGGTCAGTTGTGTTTTTTTAGGTACTGTTACTGCATACAACCAGATTTCGTATTGTTTAGTTCAACGTGTGGTATGTACTGCACTGTCATTCGAAACCCTGGCCCGCGCCCAGGTCCAGCTGAGCTGATCGGTGTGGTTGACGTAGGCCTAACGAATCCACGGTCTCGGTTTCCGTGCGGTTTCGCTTTGACCGATAAAATGTAGCGAAATGCTATGTATTATACATAATGTGGCGCAACGCACAATAAATATATTCAGGAAAGCAATTATTCGTCTCCTTCCCTAGAGGTGCCTATGTCTGCACCTGTAAGGTGCGAGAGTGAGATGAATGTTGCTCGTCCCCACTTCGACCACGTACCGGCACCGGTGGTGTTTCTACGTTCTCAGCAGCAAGTCGGCTGTGAAACGTTTCGCGCTGCATTTGATGAAAGAGATACACAACACAGCTGTGTCTAACGCAACTTCATTGTTCGGAAACAAACACTGTAACTAAATCGGATGTCATTAACCAGTAAGATGTACGGCGCAAGGAGTTTCAGATCGTTTCCCGTGTTCCGATAACAGTACCTCAGTGGACACGCGTTGGATATAATCGAATCGAACATACTCACTTGTGTAGTGTGTGTCACTATAACCCTAATTATGGGCCTAATTATTCAGATAAAGATTCGTCCCATCACTATTATAAACCCCTCTAGTGTGACTTCAATATGGTTAAAGATAAAAAAAAATAAAAGGACGTAGGCAAAGCAACTGACCACTTTGAGCCCATCCTAGTAAAGGCAGTGCCACTGAATCTTTCACAACTCTTGACATTGTTGTAAGGTTCTTGTACACCTTATTCGGTTCTGGATCTGAAAGTGAAGGGAAGCGCAAGCACATATGAAACTATTGAAATACTGAGCTGAGGGACACTAGACAAACAAGGGGTTCTAAAACTACCTTAGAGCCAGCTCATGCACTAGTCACACCCGAATGCGGAGCACAAGTTCGTCTGCTTCTTTTGCAGGGGCAGCGGTGACGTCACAGCGCCGAGCTCTGATTGGCTCTGATTGAAGGATAGTAGGTAGAGCTCAAAGTGAGCTGCCTTGAAGTCTACCTACTATACTTCAATCAGAGCAAGTCGGAGCTTGGTATTCTGGCGTCACCAAAACCCCTGCAGAAGAAGCAGACGAACTTGCGCTCAGCGTAAGAGGGGACTTCGTGACAGTACCGGTCAAACATTGCCTTTGTTTTTGTGTTGAGGCGAAGGAAAGTCACTCAACCCTGAGTTCACATAGGCGTCTCAAAACAAGTGGAGACAAGCTCTGGCAGCATTTTAGGTGTACAATTCCCTGCTCCCATAATATTAGTGGGCTGTAGACTTCCCAGTTTTAACTGAAAAATGAACACCGATAAACATCTGTCGTTACCCAGACGAAAATCAGTCCACTTCCAGCTGGATTATGGAACTGGAAATGAGGCGGTCCAGCTGGATCCAGTTGGGTTCCAGCTGGATCCAGTTGGAATCCAGCTGGACCGCCTCATTTCCAGTTCCATAATCCAGCTGGAAGTGGACTGATTTTCGCCTGGGTAGGAAAAGTACAAAATCGGTTAAAATCAATGCACACCTGCTGGTGTAAAAACAATCAGTTAAAATTGGTAAACACAGATTTCTGGAAATTTTTCTTTCAGCTTGGGCTGTTTTTGTTGAAATCCTTCCCTCTTAGTTTTTAGTTTGATCTTTTCACAAATAATCACCGTTCTCAGCAAATAATCACCGGAAAATCTATCCCCTAAATATGAGGGAACCAAAAATTATGCTGTAGACTCACTTCCTGATTCTACAGGCTGAAGCTTTCTTTTCTATAGTTCCTTTTCTAGCTCCCTGATGTCCATAAGGCAATGCCATACTAAGGCTAAGCATTATTTTCCTTGTCAAATAAAGTCTAGAAGAGCATGTCGTCATGGGCTGGTGCTGCACAGCGTGCATTCTATTCCACCGGTTACATTATCCATAGCCTTCCAACTGCTGTGCATGAACACAGCACTCCTGTGTTCATGCACAGTACAATCATAGCGATAGCTGCGACACATCACAACGAAGTTGTTGGGCATCGGCGTCGCATCCACACAACATTGGGTGCATGAACGTAAGCGTTTGGAACAAAATAGACATCTGACCATTTTGCTCCAAATGCTGTTGTTCCTTTTTGTTCTGGAGCGCATGAACACGCGTCCCCCTGCACGAGCTCTTGGCACTGACAAGGCTACGACGGCATTTCGTTATCGGGTGTTTCTCTGTATTCTTCCAGAGAGAGCGTGCAGTGGGCATCGGGTACTAGAAATTCCAAATATTTTTGTTTATTTTTTTTGTTCTTGAGCATGTGAAAGCTCGCCTCCGCGCATGAACTCTTGGCATTGACAGCGCTATAATGGAATTTTGTTAACGGCTATTTTTGTTTTTCCGAGAGAATGTGCGGTGGGCATCGGGTACTACAAAAACCTAAAGTATAGAATTAGGTAGGAACGGTAACATCTCCGCTTCGCTTGCAGCAGACCCAGGTTCGACTCCCGCGGGTGGCGGGCAATCTTTTTCGAGGATTTTGCAACATCGACAACAGACACCCTAAATCACCAACTACTATAGCATTAACAACTACTACAACATCAACAGCGGACGTTATTTCGAGTGGTGAGAAGAGCCCAAAACAGCTCTCGCCATAATAGGAGAATGCACGTTCGTGCTCGTACATGTCACGCACCATCGTTCCAAGCAAACCTTACTACTGTCTTTGTGTTAACTGTAGGTTAATTAGGATAATCCCCCACCTTGTTCCAACTGCTTTTGAGACAAACTGGTATACCTAATCGTAATCAAATTTAGCTTTTGTAGTCTGTTTATCCTTATGAATGACAGTGTCCATGTAAAGTTGCCGTTATAAACTAAGCCAATTTAAAAAAAAAAAAAGAAATTCACCACCAGCTTTTGTGGGGATAGCAAGAGAGTGACGACTAAAGGAGCAAAATAAAATTGGTGGATGGTGCAGTACACTTGTATAGCTGTGAATGTTGAGTCTTTTCCCTTAATACCAAAGCTTAAATAGCTTAATACCAAACTCAAACAGCAAAATGCCATACGAGAGTAGTTCAGCAAAGGCATACCATTTTTCAGTGTGAAATTAAAATGAACCTCTTTTGAGGAGAGTTCTGCAAATATGTCAGCTCTGCTCGCACCTAACAAAGAAATCACAAATGTGCTTCGGTGGAAACGAGGATGGCTCGTTTGAAACAGCGTCTTACTTAAGACAGTCTGAAAAAAAAAAGCACTGCTAAGGCTGGGGTGCACGAGCACACGAGACGTGATCTTGACATGTCACTCTGTCCAAGCAGTAGCTTTGGCAGAGCTTTTTTTCTTTTCAGACTGTCTCGATCAGACGCTGCCTTGAGTAGGCTGGCGACATTTACGCGCTTGCCACTGAATGAGCAACGGCCTTTATCTTATACCCTGCCTTCAGTGCCAGTTATTTGAGGCCTATAAAGGCAGAGATCAGGTTTAGGTTTAGTTCTAATTCAGCAGAAGTCAATGGTTTCGCTAAACTTCGGTTCAGAATCAGTTCAGTACCCGTCCTATTCTCCGTCTCGCCACAACTTGACAAACAGCGGAGGCTACAATCCTGGTGAGTCAATCGGCGCGTCACAGGGAGGCATATACACCAGGCTCTATTTCATCAGCTATGTGCGGTTCTGTCGAAGCCACAAACAAGAAAAAAGCCACTTTTGTACAAATTTTAACTGACGGGCTAATCTCCGGGAGGGACAAAAGCGACATTAGGGACGAGCAAAAAGAAGGTCCAGGTTAGAGGTAAGTTTCTCTTTGCCTTCTCTAACTGCTTGGGTTCACCCTCGCCCCTGTCTGTACCTTTGGTAAGGGCTGCCACATTCTTCACCTCTGTCGCTCCGGTTGGCTCAAGGGGGCCATAGCATTCGCTCTTTGCCAAGTTACGGTGAAACAAAGTATAGAAGGCAACAAATTTAATATACTCACCGGAGAGAAATACTTTCTGGATGAAGTCCGATACCCTTAGGTTGAGCGAGTACCCTTCTGAGCAGTCGTCAACCACCACCAAACCTGCAATACACATGCTTGCTTCGTATACAACAAACCTAAAGATTCATTATTCACAGCGTAAGGTAAAATTTGCACCAAGCCAAATGATTTGTGTCAGTAGTGCCAGTCACTTGCAAATGAGCAGAAAAGCCATACTTTAAGCAGTGTTATTCAGAGTGTCTCAAATAGCGGCCACGCTTTTTAGATCGACCGCAAAAATCAGTTTCTTAGCCTATCACCAACGTTACTAGAACCACTCAGTTAGGAAACTGCCATAGAGACTGCTCTAAAAAGTGGCCCCGATCTGTCCTCCAGAACCGAGCTAATGGCGAACACAACGCCGCCATTTCTCCCGCAGCGGCCACTCGAGAAACTGCACGTTACTTCTATTTTGGTTTTAATCGGCCATTTTGGCACCGAAACAGATACAGTGGAAGAGGTTACAGGGGTGCCAAACCCGTCTCCCCAGCGGGCGCGCCGCGAATTACTACCGAAGTTAAAATGCACCTAGGTCGGGACGCGCTACCTGAAAGCACCGCTGAGGCATGGCTGTATAAAAACAATATTAATAGTGCCGCTAAACATTGCAAACTAAAGATTTTAAAAACATCAGGCTCCCATCATTTTGTACTAAACTCAAATAAATTTCATACAAAGAGTCTTTTCTGTTTGTTTTTATGCAAAAACATGCTTTCTAAAAGCTCAAGGTGACCACAGTACAGACAAATAATAAAGAGTGGCACTGTTGTCGTATTTAGCTCGGTCTCGGTGGACGCCAGCGGCCCAAGTTTCGACGGCGAGTTTCCCAACTGAGTGTTCTAGTAACGTTGCCTATCGCATAACGATTTTGTGCAATGTTGCCCACCAGGTGGTGCATTCTTTCTATAAAACTTGCGAAGAGCAAACTCACCCGAGGAAAAAGTAAAAAACGAAAAAAGGCTTACCTTCAATGAAAACGCATGGAAGCCACCGGTCTTCAAACAATAGGGCACCGTTTGGCACGGGAGACAAGAGATGGTGCAAGCGGTCGTGATGCCAACTGCCGCTAAAGAACGAGCATACGGCACTGAGAGCCAGCGTCAAATAGCGGACAATATTTTAGACTAAAAAGAGGCGTGAGCTTTTTTTGATGCCAGTTGCCAATGCATGATCTTAACATCCTTACTAATAAAACACATTGTGGACACATAATCGATTAAAAAAATTATTTGTCGGGTTATTTTGATTGTTTATTTTAGGGGGGGTACTTACGTTGTCTGCTTTGCAGTTCCGTCTTGTCATCACATCTGTTTTTGTTTCTGCAACTGTCACCGCCGGTAGAGTGTGCGCCGCTTTTGATCCAAAAAGATTGTCTGCCATTGACGGCGTCTATCAGCGTCATATGCACGTTCGTTAGCGGAAGTTGGCGTCGCAACCGCTTGTGCCATCTTTTGTCCCGTGCCAAACGACGACCTATTGTTTGAAAACCAGTGGCTTCGTCGCGTTTCCATAGGAGTTGAGCTTTTTTTTTCTTTTACTTTTTCCTCAAGTAAATTTACTCTTTGCAAATTTTATTAATATTTCACCATTTGTGGGCAACGCTGCACAAAATTGTAGCGCGATAGGTTAAGAGACCAATCTTTGAGGTCGATTTAAAGAGCCTGGCCACTATTTCAGACACCCTGTATGTACCCAGGCTTAATACATTGTAAACTTGCCACAATGATGCTTCTCAGAACATTTAGAGGTATTGAAATTCTGCAAAAGGGAGGAGGCGGCTCATTGGGCTCCATGTATGGGCGATATCTCTGTGCGATAAATTGTTTGCAATGGTTTTATATTTGCAAGAAAAGACCACGTGCGAAACCACTTGACAGTGTGGTGTCACTGTGCACGTGACCATCGCGATGGCATCACATCACTCGAGTTTCGGGGTGGCACCTGGAATACGTTCCTGACTGGTGCGTTATACTGCGTCCCAAAACGTGCTCCCACAAATTCAGCCCGACGACGTCGCACAAGTGTCGGGCTCCTGCCGGTCGCGATTCTGGCGGTGTCGCAGCAGCGGTGGTGGTCTTGGCAGGCCCCCGATCTGCTGCGTGTCGCTCTCCAGCTCGACAGTTCACGGAAGATTCGGCAGTCAGGAGTTAGGGTGCCGCGACGACGGTGACACTCGCATTCACTCATACTTCTTGCCAGAACTTCTACGCCCAATCATAAGGATCGCGACATCTGACAGCGTGACACTTCGGCTTTTGCGACGTCAACTGTTGCCACTTTGGGACCTTGTTTGATGCTTGGGGGGAGAATGGGATCGACACCAAACGCACCACTCGGAGACGCATTGCGGGCACCGTATACTTTCAGTTTCTCAGCATTTTGAAGGCAGGGATGCTCTGCCAGTGACTGTGATGCAGCAGCTTTGCGGTTTTCCGACTTGCGATCACCTCACGTAGACGAAGGACCAAGCCAAAAGTTTCGATCGATAAAGGGCTAAGAGTTCCCGATGGGGAGGAGATTCAACCACTGGGCCCCGAGTGGCTAAATTTAGAACTACACTTCTGGGAACAACAGCGTCAGTGACACAGTGCTCAGCCGCCGTTGCCAAATGCCGCGTCGGCGTTCAGCTGGGGCTCGTGCTTTCCGATCGCCTGAGGAGTACCTGCTCTGGCCCGCGTAAACAATGCAACATGCACCGTGCATGTGACCAGCACCTGTTTGGAACAAAGGCCGAAGTGCGTCGAGCTCGTATCCTGCAACGACTGCTTTCATGGGAGACAAGCTTGCCGCGTACCGCCGTCACTCTGTTTATTGTCGACACTTTTTACATTACGCAGAGTTGAGTCCATGAGCCCTCTGTTGGGTAAACACCGAGTCACGGGGAAAACAAATTGGAAGGAGCGCCCCCTATAGTTCAATCTCCTCGCCAATAAAGCAAACTGTGCCCTCGGCATTATTTTGCAGACATGGCAAACAGCTCAAATTGGTTCGACATAGCATCGACCTCAAGCACAGATGACGGATGAAGTGCCAGTAATAGAGGATTTGTAGGACCCTGACAGAATGATTGCATTACGACATCAGTTCTGAAAAAACATGACTTGTTATGTTTTTGCAAGACATGTTTGACGCAGGGGTGGAATGGGAAGCTAAACACACCATTCAGAGATGCATTCCGGGCACCAATTTTTTCAGTTCCTTGGCGTTTTGAGGGCAGGGATTAGGGATGTCGCGAACCACCCTAGGTTCTATTTCGAAAGGTTTCAATATTTTCAAAGCAAACTGAGGTTTGAATTCGAAAATTTTTTTATATTTTCGTACCGACCGAGGTTTGAATTCGAAAGATTCGCAACTTTCGACCACAGTGGAGCTTCGAATTCGAAAAGTTCGAAGCTTTCACGGTTTCTAAAATTTCGGGTTCGAATATTTCGAATATCCTCTTACTTAAAGGCCAACGACCAGATTTGAGATTCTGCAAGGCAGAAGACCCTCCTCACCTTGGGGGAGAGTGAAACAGGCAACGGTGGACAGGGTAGAAGGGGGGAGAGGAGGAAGTGAGGGAAAAGTGGAAAGCGCGAACTGGTCGTCGGTCTTTAAGGTTCGAAAAATTCAAAGATTTCTAAATTCTTTGGATATAAAATTCGAAAAATTCGAACACTTCAAATTTTTATATACAAAAAGTTCAAAAATTTCGAAGATTTCGAACTTCTTTCTACATAAAGTTCGAAGGTTTCAATTTTTCTTTTAACGCTTATTCGAAAGAAAAAAAAACTTCAAAGACTTCTATATTTTTTTAGGTCCAAGTTTTCGAAGTTCGAAGTCCGGTTTTCATGTCCCTCTACAGTTTCAGTTTCAAATAATGTTTTCACGACTCACTGGTTTTCACAAAATCCGGTTTAGAAAAGTTTGGGTGTGAAATTTAGACTCCGCGAAATTGGGTCAGGCAATAAAATGAGACGACGAGTGTCCCGGATGTGCTGGAATATTTGCCACTGCAGAGTGACATGTGACCATTGACCAGTAATCGTGACCGGCAGCCGGGGAGGTATTTAACGTGCATCACACAGCAGTGATCACACGAACACACTGTTTTACGATACTCATCCAGTTAGAAACGACCAGGGGCGGGCAGGAGGTTGAGGCTCAGAAAAATCTTGAAGAGATCTCGCAAACTACCTCCGCACTCTCTTGCAGTCTGGTAGTAATTCGATCGAACGCCGCCGGAATGACGCTAGCATATAGTAAATTAAGTTTGTAATTGTCCTGGAGCTTTATTTTCTGGGATGGAGGAAACGTCTCGCAAAAAAGCACAGAAGCCGACGCAACTCGAGGAGCGTTCCACCATACAAGTGGCGTCGGAAGAAGAAAAACGGGGGGGGGGGGGGGGGGGGGAGGGCATATGTATAGCCTGCTGCCGCTCTTCACTGCATAAAAGATTGTGTAGGTGGTCATTGTCGGAAACTCGTTGTCAGAAGGCACTGTTGTGAACTGCCTATAGTGGTTTGGAAGTTCAAAACTATGTCTTTTCGACCTAAATAACTGTGCCATTGATAAAAAAAATAAAAATAAACATAACAATAAATGCCGGGAGAAAAAGCTGGAGAAAAAAAAAACTACCACGAATTCGCCGGAAGTGTTGTATTCTTGCATATTCAGAGGCTCAGAACTTCAAAACAAGTTTCTCCTCCCAACATGTGTACAGGCTAAAAGAAACACATCCCAAGAACGTGAAGCGGAAAAACAAATGTATTTTTTTTAATGACGTGCTGAACTTGAACAATATTATATATCTCCTCCTACAAGTTAATTTATTCCTTGACGTGAAAAAAACAATAAATACATTATTTTGTATTCTGCAGATGGCAATGATATGTACTGTCTGTAATGTTAATTTACATGTGATACCTCAAACAACTTAGACGAAAAAAAAAAAAAAGCCAAGTTTAGGGCATAATTGCTCGTAGATATACGTTTGGACATTTCTTTGAAACTCATCTTGAATAACAATAATCACATCTTAAGACGACACTTTCCTAGGCTATATATAGATCATTCTTAAAAAGTTTAACATCTCTACCATAAATAGCTTCGGCTATAGACGATTGTAAGCTGGCCGACTGGCCGCCGCCATGTCTCTGCTCGAGCAGGCACGCCCGTGCGATTACGAGCTTGCCAAAGCTACGTTCACCCGCGCGTTGCACGCGCTTGCACGCGTGGGGCACCACTTGTGGCGCCGTGCTTGCAATTGTCTATAGCGCGCTTTAAATATGGAACAAACGACAATCGTCAAAAAACCGTCGTTCTTCCTCGCCCCTTCAGGAATTTATTTATTTAAAACTAAGAAAACCAGAACATTGAAATAAACGACATTGTCTTTCGTAAGGGATGCAGCACCGCATGTAAAAATTCAAGAAAAAAAATTACGAACGTACCTCACTACTTGAATCCAAACGAAACCGTCCGCCAGTCTTTCGAAGTTCGACGAACGTCAAACTTTTACCCTAAACGTTCGAAGTTCGTCGAACTTTTGACATTTCAGGATTCGAAAGTTCGAAACTTTTCAAATTCTCTCGGTAAATAGTTTCGAAAGTTCAAAAATTATTGAATTCCTTAGCATAGGAAAATCAAAAATTCGAAAAGCTTCAAACTTTTTAGTGCGAAAAGTTTGAAAGTTCGAAAATCAATGAATTTTTTGGTCTATCAAGTTCGAAAGTTTAACAAGCATCGAATTTTGCAGCGTAATAAGTTTGAAAGTTCGAGAAGGATCGAATTATTTACCACATAAGTTCGACGGTTCGAAAAACGTTGAACTTCTTAGTTTAACAAGTTCGAAAATTCGACTTCCGTCGAATTTTACGATATAGAAAGTTCGAAAATTTAAAATCTTTGGAACCTTTCGAACAGCTTGATTCGATCATCGAAACTTCGGTTCAAAAAAAGGTTTGCGGCATCCCTAGCAGGGATGCTCTGCCAGTGTTTGTGATTCAGCAACTTCGTGGTTTTCAGACTTGGATTCGATCACTCCATTTGGAAAAAAGACTAAGCAGTCGTGTCTTTCAATTCCGAGGACAATTTTAGTCCATTCTTCGACGCAAAGGCGCAAAAAGTCATAATGTTTAGCAGTAGAAGCATATCGCCCACCATCTTAGCCCCACGCCAATACATGTAACTCAAAGTTTGCTTTTTCTTATTTTATTTTTTTCAAGTTGGGACTGGCAAAATTTTTGATCGGCAAAAACCTCTGAGTTTTTTTAAAAGCAAACTAAGCCCTCGGTATTATTTCGCAGACGTGGAAAACAGCTCAAATCGGCTCGAGATAGCATCGACCTCAGGCACAGATGACGAATGTAGTGCCAGTAAATGAGGATTACCTGGCAGAATGACTGCATTACGGCATCAATTTCGCCAAACACGACTTTCCCAAAACTACCTCCCAAGTTCCTCCGCACGAAACGAAGTATTAATCTCGACAATGAAAAAAAATTTTAAAAAATGACAAGCCGTAAAATGAAGTTGGCGTTGCCGGTGTTACTCGACTCGTTGCCCGCTTCATAATTTTTTGCCGCCGTCGACATTGAACTTTAGCTACTGTGTTGAACCCAACGAATTAAGTGGTGTAACTGAATGTTAAAGATGGCAAAATTCCATCCTTGTGAGGAGCTGAAAGCACACAGACATGCCACCTGTATCTGTTGTGTTTTCCATTTTCCACACCCACATGCTAATCTTCAAAAATAAGTCATCAACAAACTCTCTCGGTTAGTTCTAGAGCTGTTGTTTACAAACCTTCTCTACAAACGCCATATCAAGTGTACGCAAATCACTGGTACGTAATAAAATTGTTTTCTGTCATACATAATTTTTTTTTTTCAATATATGACATTCAAAAGAAAGGCTGGGATGTTTTCAGCTTTTGTTTTCTGTTAACCATACATGTTTTGAATTACGGTCGGTGTCATAGATTTGTAACGCTGTACTATACTTTGGCTTCGCTTCACAGCCTTTGGACTTGTCCACAGACATTGAGCTGTTTTCACATCTAGAAAAAGGCAAACCATCAATACACCATGCACCAGAAAAAAAAAACTATGAAGGCGGAAACAAATTTGGTAGAACATTGTGAAAAGTTATGGCCCCTAGTTCAATGCAGAGTGCAAGTTCATCTGCTTCTTGCACAGGGGTTGCGATGATGTCAGAACGCCGAGCTCTTATTTTCTGATAGAAAAAAAACAGTCGGTAGACCTCAAGGCATCTAGCATTGAGGTCTACCCACTATCCTTACAATCAAAGCCAATCAAAACTCGGCGTCGTTCCGACGTCACCGCAACCCCTGCGCAAGAAGCAGACAACTTTCTCTCCGCACATTTGTAAATGGGTTCACACCGTGCAAAAATGTCCACGTTTCTTTGCTGTGTCGCCGCTTGTTATTGTCAAACGCTGCTTATAAAGTAACAAATAAAACGAAAAAGGAATGTAAACTCTGTTCCCGAACTGTAAAATTCCAGAAAAGTGCCCATCCCACTTTCACTGAAAAGTGGGTTAATCTAAACATGGGCACTTGTTCGGTCAAATCGGTAAAAACCAAGATGGCTAATAAAGAGCTTTGAAGACAGGGCAAACAAAATCAAACTACTAATTTATTTTCACATGATAAGTGATGAGGGACCTTATACCTATGTATTGTCACTGAACCGAGAAAACTACTCTTCTGACGAGAATGACTCTTCTGAGCCATTCTCGTCACGAGTAGCCTTTTCCCTTTCCATTGCAAGAAAGCGGATATCCCTGCCTTCGCAGTTGGCGGTCTCGTGGCCGCAGCAACGAGGTGAACATTTTCAGCTGATGCCGTCGCTTTGGAGGGAGTGGACGCTTAACGTATAATTTACAGAATCGCCAACTTTCGTAAATGTTTAATAGTGGGCGCTTGTACAACTTGGGCACTTCTGCAGTATTTTGTGGTATGTACCTTGTTCCCGCAGGAATCTAAGGTCCCTCACAACTTACGCAGCGGAATGCAGCAATGCATTGTCATTGAACCTGTTGCACAAAGCATCGCCACTTGTTTACATGGGTTCTTTGGCTGTCCAATGACTGGTTTTGTTTTCTCGCCGTTACCAAGGCAGTGGACATATAGTTTTTAGCAAGCTGCTAGAAGGCACTGTACATTTTGAATATCGTCTATTAAGTCCCCAATAAATATGTCATTTACAGTGAAGACAATGAAATAAGATGCCCCTTACACAAACACAGCTAGGTTGCAACGATTCCTTTTACTATAAGTGCACAGAGTATGGGATCCTACAGTCTGTTGCATAAAGATGTGAAGAGCTCAGCAGCACACTTCACACATGGAAATGAACGCCAATATTGTACCATGAATGATGACGTTGGGTTCCACGAACAGGAAGGCGACGCTAAAGTTTGCCGCAGGGCAAGTGGGATGAGTGTAGCGGAGTTTTAGCAGGCCATCCCCTTTCACCCAACAAAGGTTCTCTTTCGCAGTATGGTCTTCGACGGTGCCATCCGATCCCTTTTCCTGCCAACCCTGAAGATGGACACATGCCAGTTTGTAAAACAACCGATTATCAAGGGACGCGATGGTGGCAGTTTTGGCCGCCAAACATAAATCCAAATGGTTTCTTAACTTGCACATTGAATTTGACAATTACACAAGAGGAGGTCAAGATTTGAAAGTAGCGGGTAATAGTACTTGTAGTGTGGTAGTGTCACTGAAAAGGTAAAGAGCGGTAGGGAGCTTCTTCAGTTGTACTGCCTCCAGTGCAAGCTTCCCCTTCAATAATGCTTCGGTGTCTCGTGAGCATGGACAGCGACAGCATGCGGAGGCCGGACATTTTAAAGGGACGTCCTGCCATTCCCAAAGTGACTGCGACTATAGCAGCTAGAGAGAAATGTGGATGCATCAATCACTCACCTCTATCTCAAAGCCCGTCTCAGTCATCAAAACATGAACCGCCAGGACGAGAGCTTCCCGGGCATGGTTGATGTTGCACGTCATGTGGAGGTCCTCTAGCTGTTTCGGTAATGGCATTGTGAAGTCCAGAACCTGGTAGCAGTACTGAGGCCTCGTTTCGTCCCTGTAAAACGTAGGCAATGTAAAGGTAACGCTCACCTGTTTGCATTATCCATTCAATGCTTGCAACGTTGAATAAGAACTGCACCATAGAAACAAGTACCTTGTGCCAGTGTGCCTTTGGATAGTCATTCTGCTGGTCTTGTGGATGTAAGTGCTTCCTTTACGACGTTAGTTTTACATATAACTGGTAGTGAAAATTTAAGCAAGAGGATCATTTGCACCGGGAGACTGGACACGTATGTATACAGTATATTCACCAAACTTATCCGGAGCACGCGAAAGGAGACCTTATTTCATGGGAGGGCTATCACTGGTGGCGGTCACTGGTGCTCAATGGGACAGCCAATGCAGGAAAGGCCCCAGATTTTGGACACTGCAGCAATTTTGACGGCCGGCCAATCTTTACTTATCTCCAACTTTTCACACTTTGATGCGTAGGTGATTGATCAAACGGTCAGTGATTGAATGATTCAATCAATGAGCATTTGATGTTCCTACTGAATGTTGCAAAAAGCATAGATTGCCTCGCAGGCAGGATTGCGCTGTTGACCCCGGTTCAGCAGGGATCTCGGCCTTGAGAAAGCAATCCCCCTCGGATCGATCTGTTCCACTGAGCGCTACGCCATGGAGCAGTTCTACTGCAGCTAGGATATAACTCCCGTGAGATAAGACGCAGTTCCCGTGTTCCGGCTAAGTTTGGTGAGCAGTCTACGTTCTCCACCACAACTGATTTTGTACAGAGCGCGACACTGTTAGCGCGAACAAGCGAACGCCGGTTTTTTCATTTTTTTTCTCTTTGAAACCAAGGGATGTCGTCCAAGTTATCATTGTTACGGAAAGACCTTATTTAGTTCTAAAATGTAAGCGATAAAATTTCGTGCTCGCGAATACTATTTAGAAGTAAAATGCGAAAATGCGCCGATGTCGTGTTTGCGCTAACAGCGTCGCGATGTGTACAGTTCGCTGCCTATGAATCAAATTGCTTCGGCTTAGTCCAACTCGATTGATGCTGATGTTGGAGGAAGCAAAAAAGGCAGATATGTTTTAATTGTTCTACTCTTGAAGTGAACCAGTCATCGTGTTGTTCGATGCTACAAACACCGCTCTTCGAGGACCTATATTACATCAATAACAATAGCTGCTTCCACTGAAGGCTTCGACGGTGCGTCAACTCGACGTAATATCTACGCGATCCAAGACAGGGCAGTAAATTGTACGTCCATGTGTTTAAATGTCGTCTAAAACCGCATCATCCTTTACAGGATGCTGGTCAACGCCGCGGCCAAAGCACTGGTCAAACTGGCCCCAAGCGCGTTCGAATTCGAAAGAGCACACTCGCCTCATCGCAAAGCGTCGACGTTAGTTCTGCTCACTATTTGGTTGTCATGCGTTTCCGGTCAAACCGGGCTTTCACGTAGCTTATCAAAACAAATACGCAGTTGCGTTTACAATACGAACAGCCATTCCGCTTCGAAGCTTTACGAATGAGGAGCAAATTTTGAGAGGAGCAGACGCTACGCGCGACATTAGCGCCCCCAAGAACAGTGTCGAAAAGACGAACAAGGAAGTTTGTAAAATTATATGGTTTCGTTTTGGACACGTATTATTTTTTTATAAATTAAAAAGTGAAATTGATAAATAATAATAATAATAATAATAATAATAATAATAATAATAATAATAATAATAATAATATTAATAATCTTAATAATAATAATAATAATAATAATAATAATAATAATAATAATAATAATTCGGTTTAAAAGGACACTAACAGGCTATTTATTCTTGCCGAGGTTTTTAGTTGTCCCAACTACCCAGAACAGAGGGGGGGTAGCGCACTCGCACGAAGGCACGGTTATGGTGCCTGGAACGCGTCTCCGACTGGTGTGGTCCCTCGATTTCCACCTGATGACGTCATAAAAGTGTCATGTTGTCGCCGGTCGCGACCCTGGCGGCGTCCCAACAGTTGTGGTACGTGTGGCAGACGCCTGTTCTGCTGCAGGTCGCTTTCCATTGTGGCAGTTCACGGAAGTTAGGGCAGCCGGAAGTTGGGACGCCTAAAGCGACTCTGTGACGACAGCGACACTCGCGTTCGCTCGTGCTTTTCGCCAGCATTTCTACGGCCAACCGCCAGGATCGCGACAGGCAACAGCATGACACTCGCGTCATTTGTTGCCACATTGGGACCACTTTTGATGTATAATAATAATAATAATAATAATACCTTTATTTCCATCAATTTTGATGGGGGAGCCCGAGGAAAAAAGCTGCGATATGCAGCTTGACTGGTCCTCGGTCCCCTTACAGTGGTCAGCGGCAAGCATCAGGAAACAAAGATGAAAATCACGTCAACTAGCAGCTGCAGGTATTGTTAACAGAAAAACAAAACATATAACGCTTTATGAAAGGAATGCATTATGTACAAAAATATTCACGCAAGTCTTTGAAAGTCAAGTTTTCAAGAGAAACATTACTACTGCAAAAAGTATTTAACAAATTTGTATGGGCGGGATAGGGCGGTAAACACACCAGTCGAAGACGCAATCGAGGCACCATAGGCACGGTGACGCAACACTTCTGCGTGCCAAGGAAGCTTTGATGCATCGTTGCTTTGATGACGCCGCGAGCCGCGAGGACGGCGTGACTTGCTTTCGACGAGTTGTACCTTTTTCCTGCGGCACTGTGCTTTCGTAAAAATTTCCACGTGTTCTCAACGGCCAGTCTCAAGGCTTACACAGGGTCTTAAAAAAAAACTTCTTTGGCAAATGACAACGAACGAGTGCGAAACGTATCTAAGCACGCTTCCGCCGGCCTCTGCAACGCTAGCGTGGCCGTCCGGTGTGAAGCCCGTTCAGCATTGGTTCAGCGCGTCCGGCGGCTTCACTCGCGCTGCAGCGACCAAGCGGGTACAGAGCCGTGAGCGGGTGAGCGGGGAAGCGCGATGAGCTAGTTGGTACATACTGTTGCCAATCAGGTCAGTGGAAGGACCGAAGCGCTCAAGTTTCGCTAGACAGTCCTTGCTTCTCGAGATGTGTACATCATCTGCAAGTGTCCTGCCAGCCATACTTCGAGTCTGTGCCAATGTCACCGTGTTAAGAGCACGAGAAGAATTTTTATATTGTCACAAGGTTGTGTGTTTACCTACTCGTGGTTGTGACAAAACTCAATAAAAATTGTTTTCACTGTCAACAAAACATATCTGAAAGCGATGCATTATGCTGCTGTACCATATTTTCCAGACTATAGTCCACAGGGGCAAATTTGGGGTAAAAAATAGATTTTGCTTACATTGTACACATACAGTGCATCGTCTGCACCTGGTGCTTAGTTGTCACGAATATCCTCTCATAGACAGCACACCTTGAGAAATGTCTGCTTTCTTAGCGCAAAAAGAAGCTGGTATTATACATAAATTATCATTAACATACCCTTTCATTCACAAAATCCGTCTCGTCATAATCAACGATATTGAAAAACAAAAATCCCGCATAGTCCGCACAGCCTAAAATTTTCATTTTTAAAAGCATAGCCCGGAAAATACGGTACATTCCTGGAAACGCTTGAAAACATGCCAACATGCCACGAAAGAAACTTTATTCAGTGAAGCAGCAATGAAACACTGACAGGCATGGATTATTTTTCCAGAAAATAAAAATTGTTCTACTAATGACAACCTATCATGTGTCACTGGTGTTTTCTTTGCTACACAACATTTTCCTCCTAAAATGTCCCACACAGTAAAGTATGAATCAAGCCCCCACCCAATCTTTGAAAATCTTGCATGTGGACTGGACAACTTGAACCTGAAAGAGAAATTAAGTTTTTTTTATAAATCCATCCATCTGAACATTGTCATGAAAATTCGACTAAAATTATGTGCAGTCATATGCATAGCAGACATTTATGCTGGAGATTTAGTCTAGGCTAGCCTCTTTTCGATTTCAACTGTTTTGCCCCTCTTTCTGACAGAATCTCGCGGCACATTATTGTTCAAACTCGCAGAAAAAGTACCATTAATCAGCAGGAGCAGGTCCCCAGTAACTGCAACCTACTGCCTCAGTGAAGTGGGACAAAAAACCTGGTAATAAATCTACGAGGCCTTTGTTCAGGTCGTGCCCTGGCGTTTTAGTTCCCTACTGCTGAGGCAGGCTGATGAGGACGCGTGTTCAACAATACTAATAAAATTACGAGCGTCGGAGCAATGCTCGCACCGGTCCGCGACTCCAGCCCAGCGAGGACCTGCAGTCTCAACTGTACGGGGGGGACTTATCTCTTCCCGGAATTATCACCCTATGCCCGCACGATCCCCGACACGTTAATATTTCTTCGACGTGGGCGAGCCCGAAAAGCTATCCCACTCGTAGCCTCTAGTGCGAGAACGTAGTCTGCCGGTGGTTCAGCGACCGAAAAATAGTATCCCGACGTCGTCTAACAGGACTCACGAGAACAGTGGTTCATTGTGATCAGTAATCTTTAAGGCACAATGTTATTACAGCGCAAAATTTAAACAAGTGCCGCTCACCTGTAAAGTTATCTCGAAGACGCCGCACGGCCGGCACGGCCGTACTTGCGAGGCGGACCAGACTCGTTGGCGGGGAAATCAACCGCTTTCTCGGTGGAAGATGCGTGTTATTGAAGCTTTTCTATCGTTTCTTGACTCACCATGAGAAATATTTCTCGCACGCTTTCTATCCTTCTCTAAATCTTCACCGTACGCTCGAAATACCTGCGACGCCAATGCAACGCTACGAGCACGACCGGCGCGACACGACCATGTGTTGTACTGCGGTGGCGCTACCATCGCAATTTCGAAGCGCCCCCTGGTTGGGCGAATCGATTCTATACCGCCCATGGAACGCGAATGGGTAAACCCTGGCAGAGCAGAGCCGTGTATTGGGAGAGTTTGGCCAATAGGCGGAGCAAAGGCCGCCACCAGCGCCGAATATTCCCCCCGCGCTTAGAGCGTAAACTAAATTTGTGACACAGCGTCAACCAATCAGGAGATCACGACGTCACACTATTGCAAACGGCATTTAAAGCGTGCAATAGAAGCGTTCAATCTCGGCCTCTCTACTCCATCTCACAAATGTCTGTAGTAAAGACAAAGGCACAGGCGCGCGAGCCTAGCTCAGCAAAACGCTTTTGTTTGCACTAGAACTCGTGCATAGGAGGCACTTTCCAAAGCCACGGGCTCGTGCCCATGCCTTTGTCTGCACTGTTGATGTTTGTGCAGATGGAATATAGGTGACAGTTCGCTCTGGGCCGGCTTGCTAGAACAGCGTCTAAACCAGGGCGTCGAACCGGAACCGAACCGAAAACCGGAACAGAACCGTTATTTTTAGCCGAACCGGAACTGAACCGAACCGAAATCTTCGCCACCATCTTGGAACTGAACCGGAACTGAACCGGAAAAAAATATAACGGTAACCGGTTCAAAACGGTTCACGGTATTTTTTTTGTTAGTATTACAAATTTATTATTATTGGCACGTGTATTCCTCTACGTATTGATCAAATCGTCATATACAGAATTGCAATGTATAATAAATCCTGGTTTTTTGCGGCGCTTTCTTATTGGCACTATGATTAGCCATGTGTCACAATGTCACGTGACGTCATGATGTCAAGACATGCTGTCAAGTAATGTCACATCACGTGACCCCGTGACGTCACGTGACTCACCGCGTTAAGTCGATTCGAATTGAGGACGTCGCTAGATCTATTAACGTTGTTGATACCGTGACGTCACATGACATCACAACTTCGCACTGAGAGTCACGTGACACCATGATGTACCCGATTGTCATGATCCCGAGTCAAATGCTCTGGTTCATGACAACCAGTATCGCCAAACATTCGGGTAACGCTCGTGTTCAACTCAAAGATTATGATGGGCCCGAGTCCCACTAGAGCTAGAAACACAAACAAACGAAAGTGACAAGCCTCAGACACATGCAGCATGTTCGCGATGGTACCTTTATACGGCTTTGAGTTGTTCGGTGCTCGCGAAGTTAGCACGAGTGTTTACAAGCCTGCAAATGGTACCATCGTGTGCATGATACTCGTGTTTGAGCATAGCCTTCTTTATTCTACAAAGCCTGTCAAATCGCGAAATGCTCTGGTTTAAAGCTAGCCGCTGTCGTTTGTTTCTGTTTGTCGCTTTAGTGGGGCTCGGGCATTATAGCCCAACTAAAATTATGTCTGAAGATCAGCCCATGCTCTCTGCTTTGCCAACCCTGCGTATGACTATGATAAACACTGACGGTGTATATATTAGGATCAGATCACGTGGCTGATAGTTCTAATTGTGAGTTGAGGAGGGGAAAGCTGTTTCATTTCTTTCTTTCGACTGTCTGCCATTTCGCGGAGGGGCAAACTAATGGATGCTTTTGCAAGTTATCAACGTCAAGGATTACAACTTAGCGGTATTTATTGAACTTAAGGTAAAAAAAAAAAAAAAAAGATGCTGCACGACCCATTTTACATGTATGCGCACCATTGAGGCTCCCAAACATGTTTTCGTTATTGCTGAACT